ATCAACTTACAAAAATGAATATCAGCTTGCAGCTACTTCTACTGCAGCAGGTGAGTTTCACCTTTCAAGTGACATGAAGGGTTAAAACAAACAGTTATAAAGAGAAAATTAATGATGGAGAAACAAGGCAATCACAAAAACTGTACAACAACAATCTGCTGTAAAAGTAATCAAGGCTGCTACTCTTTTAATTTCAGCATTGACTTCACAGCCACCTGTAAGACAGTAGAAAGAGATATAATGAGTCAGAGAGCACACAGAAAGCTGGAAACACAGGCCTGATGACCGATCTGTTCTTATTAAAAAAAAAAGAACTGCAAGTGAATATTTTTGGACTATTTCCTGCTTGCAGAAACTTGACAGAAGTTCAAACCCCAGGAAGCTTCTTTGACAACTGACGTGCTTGTAGGTTTGTTTGATTTCAGTGAATGAAAAATGTCTTTCCTATTACAAAGACAGAACATAGTTATATCATCAAATACCTGTCATTTGAGTGCAGAGAAACACTAATGCTAATGTGCATTAAAGAACCAATTATTATTTGTCTTGGCCTTTGGGGTAAATCTCAGTGAAATGTGCAAGTCACATCTAATGTGAATGTCATTTATGGTCCATTCTCCTGTAAATTCATGTGAGAAAGTGTTTGCAGGGCAACTAGTGCTACGGATGTGCATGAAACTGGTTAAATTGACCCATAAAGTCCCCTAATTGCCAGAAGCAGGGGGATGGACTTCTAAATATTCCTTTGGTCTGTTTCTTTTCACTTTCAAATCATCCTGTTTTCCTTCACTACAGCACCTTAAGGCTCTGATATTTTTAGACCTTTATGGCGTCACAGCTGCATCTTTAGGCCAGAGATGATGCCCATTTCTCTCTAAGATATTCCAGCCATATCCCAGGTACACACACAATGGATGCTTAAGTTTTTGTGACCTTGCTTTCTTACTCATCATTGTGTTAACTGTGATCGGTCAAAACCCATAGGAATGGTAATTGCTAGTGCTGTTAAATGATTTTTTAATGAAAATTTTAATCAGGTTAATCACAGGGTTGCTGTGTATTAATTTCGATTAATCAGGATTAAATTTGAGTTCAGTTTAATACCTAAGTCATGACAATGGTTGAAAAACTGTGTTTGTATGTTTATAAAAATTAACTCTCCAGTTTCTTTTGTTTTGTTTTACATTTAGTGAGAAACAAGAAGGGAGGACTGAAATTTTTGTACTAAGTTCTCTGGGCCAGTAATGGATATTTCAACTTTGTCTGGGTTAAATCTTAAGACATTTGCTGCCATTCAGTCTTAAATATTAGTTCTTGGTTCTACAGGCAGGTACAGTTGACTGCCATCAGTGAAATAATTTAATGAATTATTGTGTCTCTGTATCATGTGACCAAGATGCAGCATGTAGATTAAAAATAAAAATTGGTCCCAAAATTGAACCCTGAGGGACTCCACATTTTACTTCAGAGTGTAGGGAAACAGACTCTCCAACGGACGCATAAAATCTTTGATTTTTTAAATACAAAAAAATAAATAAACAAATAAATATAAACATTTCAGAACTGTCTTAATAAACAGCCTCAGTCATAATTTTGTGGTCAATTGTGAATCATTAAGTCAATAAAACTGTCTTTAAATCAGTGTTTTATGTCAACTAGACAGCAGATGGCCATGCAAATTAGTGTCAGGATCTCTGAGCTTTGCATTGTGGTCACTCTGTCTGGATTCTGTTTTACATGGCCACATGGATTAATGAGATTACATAATGGTTAATGTACTACATAACCATTTACTCTATATTAAATATTACCTCTTACTTTTAGACTGCCTGCTTGGGTTTCTAGCTTTGTTGCTCAAACCAGAAAAGGGAAAAACAAGTGTATGATTGGATTTATAATTAAACACATAAAAAAACCTATATAATTGTTGGCCAGCATTGTAAATACATACATTTATTTTCTCAGTTTGTGTATTTAATCCATCTGTCCTCTCTCCTCAATCCTGCCAGACATTGTTTAGTGTGTGTGTGTGTGTGTGTGTGTGTGTGTGTGTGTGTGTGTGTGTGTGTGTGTGTGTGTGTGTGTGTGTGCGCGCGCGCGCGTGTGTGTAAGCGCTGCAGCCACCATATGTTGCCACACTGTAGTTTTGTGCATGGTCAGACCCATATCATATGATCAACTGAGGAACCCTGCAGTTTTGCATCTGTTGTTGTTTGTCTTATTCCCTCTGTGCCGTCTGAACAGTTGTATAATGGTAAAAGTATTATGTTAGAAGTAGAAATGGCTGCGCTCATCTATTATGTACAAAGACAAGAAGTGTTTTATGACCTTTCGCCTGCAAATGTGATAATGTTTTAAATATTTTAGAGGGCTCCAAAGAGAGGCTAGGTACTGTAAATGCCTTCTCTTAAGATCTTAGATACCACTCCCTTATATTTTATTCATGTGCCAGCACCATTTGAAAAAGTTCATTTACAAGTACACTGTAGTGACAACTACTCCCCTTACTATTTTTTTTATTCTGAAAGGATTTTAAACTAATTTTTGACACCACATTTGTTAAAATGCTTTTAAAATTTTGTTATGCCACAGAGCAATATTAAGGGCAGTGATGACTGACAATATGATTGCAGAAACAATCCTTACTCTGGGTGACTAAAAGAGGATAACAGGACTAAACTGTTAGCTGATTGTCTCTGTATTCTTCTTGTGTAATGCAGCTTCATAACTTTAAAGTAAATTCTAGTTTAGAGAGGAAGGACTACAACCAGCTTCATCTAATTCTACTGTCTTTCAAGCTAAAAGTATGACCAGTTTGCATTATATAATCTTTATAATATAAAGTATATAATATTATTATAATTATATAACTTTTATACACATGCACGATCAACTTTGAAAACAGGAGATCTTGCTTTGACAACACTAAATCTTGTCCAGTGTGAGTAGTAACATCAGTGGGACCCGGTTTCTGAAACTAAAAACAGCAGTTTAAAAAACATGCATCATATATAATTCACCAGACAAGTACTGTTGTTGAAGTCAAGACATGCACTTTTATTGGAAATATGACAGTTACCAGTTAAAGCTCTTGTAAGGAGTTTTTGACATTCATAAAACAAACAGAAATCCATATTGATTTTCGTAATGAAAAGAGCAAACAAAATTACCTGCGACATGAGTGGCAACTTTGAAAAGTTATTTCTATCTCCTCAGGAGGACAAACTTGAAGCTCCTTTGAAGAACTTCAGGTTTATGTTAGTTTTGGTCCCCCCTGTGGACAAAACAGTCTTTGCATTTGTCCCATACATGCTTTAACGTTTACCATGGTCTATTTCAGGCTTATTTCTGCCTGAATCTAACTGCCTAAAGTAAATCAGTAATAGCTCAGTACTTACAGGACCTAGTTGCACAACCTCACTGTAACGGGTATTGTATGAACCCAAATGCAGTACAAACAGGGCACCGAATCTGTGTTCAGTCAATAGATTTATTAACAGGAATCTGGCACACAGACAGTTCAGTGGCTGGGCAGGTGGCTTGGTCAGGACAAGCAGAAGTTCAGAAACCGGGAGGCAATCAGACAATCCAAAGGGGGGCAGGCAGAACTCGTAGTCAGGAACAAAAGGCTGAGGTAATTTACCAGGAGGCAGACGAAGCAGGCAGGTCGTAGACAGGCAGGGTCGGCACCGGGAAGACAGACAGAAGAACGCTAGAAAGTCTCGCATGGCAAAGAACAATCTAGCACTGAGTGAGGCAGGAGAATATATACTGAGCAGAAGGCAGGGGAGCTGATTAGTGAGTGAGGGCAGGTGTGTGATTACTGAGTGAAGGCAGGTGTGTGATCAGTGACTGAAAGTGGGTGCGGTAATCAGGGGGTGGGTGTGGTGTGAGCAGGGCAGTGGAAAACTAGAAAAGCACTCGGAGAGCGCAGACCTCCGCCAAGCAGCTCATTTCCCCCTTATATTGTGATTCACACCAAAACTTTTACTGTTACGTGTCTTTTATTAACGTTTATTTGTGTTTAAACTGGTATGTTCACTGTTAATAATGTTACCAAAACAAGAAATGCCCTGACCCGGATTCAAACCCAGGACCTTCTGGTTGTGAGGCAACAGTGCAACAACTACACCACTGTGCCACTTATTTACACCACTATGCCGCCCATTTGTTATCTTTCAGCATCGAAAATTCCAATGACACCCTTATTTTTGTGTGTTCTGGATCACAGTATCCAGAAAAAAATTTCAGGTCAATCCGTCTGTTACTTTCTCCGTAAAGTTGCTAACAGACAAACAAACTCACAAACAAACAAACAAACAAATGCTACCGAAAACATAACCTCCTTGGCGGAGGTAATTACTGAGTCCATGGGGAAAGGCTGGAGCAGACTGTGACTCTCAGGGCTCTACTTTCGTGTACGCCGGTGAGGCGACGGAGGGTGGCGGACCCTGCGCAGTTGTATTTTCGTCTGGCGGAGCTCGGTGCACAGCCACTTTGGTATTTTCGTGGACTGAGGCGCACAGAGGCGAACCGAGATCCGCCAAGCTGGGCGTGGTGGAGGTGTTGACAGAATCAGCGGGCGCAGTGACATTTTCGTGCTCGCCACCGGCGTGTAAAGTGCGCTGAAAGCTTGCCGATTCAAACCTGGTCAGCTTTCAGCGCAGGCGGAGCGCAGCTGGTCTAGTGGTATTTTGGTAGACCGGCGGCGTATCGGCATACGTCACTGATGCCTCACCAGCAGTTTTCCACAGTGTCAGGCACATTTCAGTGCAATAAATAATCATCAACAACTATTAATCTGAGTCAGCACATACATTTAGATCAATATAGATATATTCTGATCTACATCTGATCTGACGAGCGCGTTTGGACACACAACCTGACTGAATTTAATTTGTCTCCCTCCTTTTCTTTCTTCCTCTTCCTCCTATTTCTTGCACAGCTTGACCTGGACATGTCTCTGTGTCCTCTCTCCGTCCTGCTGCTGCTGCGGCTGAACAGATGATTTGTGTCAGTGCTCAGATGCGTTATCTACTTTAAGCCAACATACGGATATTATAAAATTCAGTTTTGTGGGCCAAATTTATTTTATATGCCAACATCTATGAAAGAAAGAGCCAGGCCACGGAGCGCGATGCGTCATTTACGCACAGATGGTTCCGATTTTAATGCCATTTTTGGAGTTTATGTTGTGATCTGTGCGCTCAACACACCTTTGTCACGTGAGGTTTGAATATATGCAACTTTATGTGAGTGTCTTAATTAGTGGAAAAGGTGTTTGTCTTACCACTGGGTCCAACATTACACACACCAAATTCATCTGTGCTCGTATGAGAGAGTGTGGAGGACGCCCAGTGCAGCGCTTACAGTGACACTTGTTGAGGAGCTGCCTTCTGTCGCCATCGTGTGGCATTACTGTCTTCAGACATCTCTTGATCTCTCTGACTACTTCACGAAAATAGTAACAGGATTTAAAGGCAAGGAGAGGAGCTTATGTGATTGGTGAAAACAGCTCTCGGCTGTGTTAAACCCACTCCACGCCCTCTCTCCTCCCTCACAATGACTTACGCCGCTGGGAGGAGCTGAGTTAGGAAGGGGGGATACTTACGCCGGGCTGCGCCGCTCACCAGAATACCAAATTGAGCTTGGGAACGCCTTGTCGGCGTGGCGGACCTGAATTACGCCGCGCCTGTGGCACGTCTCCGGCTAGGCACGAAAATAGAGCCCCCAGTGTCTATAAAAAGGTGATACCTTGTCTAAACTAGATTAAGATTGGCTGTGATCTTCATAATGCTAGAATAGTATCAAAGAAGCTACAGGAAAACAAAAAAACATTTTTTTTGTTTTTTCCCCCCACACTCCGATGTTGCTGATCTCCTGCTGGTCAACTCGCTGTGCCATGTCCAGTGCATAAGCATTATAGATACTTGACTTTGAGCTGCAGTGTTGTGTAGGCTTGTATTTCAGCCAATTAGTGGAGGTTTCCTGTATGCAAGCCCTCATCTGACAAATACATAATATGTTAGACACCTCAATGACTGACGCTGCCTATTGGAGCTGACATATCAGTGCAGTGGCCATCTGGGATGGGTCCTTCAAGTGCATTTATGACTACTGTGGAAGGTAAGTGTGCCCAACTACTCTCATCATATCTTCCCAAATATTTACCCTACTTCCACACAGTTTGGTTTGTTAAAAACAGCAGAGATGCAGTTATGGACTCCGTCAAGCACTTAAAGGTAAAAAAATATATATTTTTTTGATCTGACTTGTGTAAGGTAATCCTACATGACCTGGTTTCAATACAGCGGTTTTTGCAACCGTAGAGTGCATCAAATATGGGCATAGGGCTTGTTCTCTGCTGACTCCAAGGAGACCCATCCAATATGGTGGTGATGCTTGATAAAACTCCAGCACGAAATGAGGCATCTACGTATATTATGTCATGTTCATCTGAGAGCTGTACATATGTAGAATAAATCGACAACAATCAAACTTGAATTGATTCATCCAATTGCTGTAAAGATGGCTAAAAGGACAGAGAGCTCTGGGCTATGGTTGGCCAGAGTGAATCTGTCAGTTGGACAGGCATTTTGTGGTTCTATCAGAAGAACATAGTCGTTGTGTTAGCTTGTGGGGAACTTTCTGAAAAATAAAATATGACCGAAATCAAAGTTAACTGACAGATTTCGTCACGCAAAATGACAAAAATGAATTACCTTTTTCTTTTCCCCTGGAAACATTACCTGCTTACTTTTTTGTAGCTGGAGGGATATTAATCATAGCAAGGAAAGACCAGTCTTATTTGAAATAGGAGGAAGTCCTGAGTTGTTTTGATAGATAGTGGAGTAGAGTTATGTGGCGGCGTTTTCAGCAACCTCCTTTCTGCTGAAGTTGCTCATGCCCTAGGTGCAGGCCCGGATTAAACCTTCTGTGGCCCCTGAGGCTAAGCAAACCTAATGGCCCCCCTCTGTCCCGCGCGCGCAAAAAATTGGCAGTTTTTATTGGTCACATTTTGTAAATTACTGCAGTTATGGGTGGTTATTTAACAGTTCCACTAGCCACCACCTCTAGCCAAACCACTGGGTTAATACAACTGTGTGTCTGAACTCAATTCAACAAGAGGTAGTGAAAAAAGTCTTGAAGGAAAGCACAGAGGCTGGTGTACAGTTCACTTTTTTACTGTAGAAAACCTCAGGCATTTTAAATTACAAGTATATAGCAAGCATTATAAATAAAAGTGCAAGGCATGATATGAAGGCCTGTTATGGTTATACAATTTGTTTTGTTTAAAGGATTGCTACATTGATTTGAGATTTTTATTATTTTTATATTTGCTATTTGTGTTTTGATCTTTATTTTCATATTCTGTAGGGACTGATAAATGTCAGAGGTTTTGACACTGTGATACTTGAATAAATGTTTTATACCATATTTTGAATTAATTCAGACCTTTTGTGCATTTATTTTTGTCTTGTTACATTTTTTCCATTATTCCAATTTTGGGGAGCGTGGTAGCAATTTGACTGACTTTCAGCCATTTAAGGCCATGATGTGCTGTTTATATTTTATTGCTTTTATTACACAGTAGGTTGTATCATTTTTATGTATGAAACATAAGCTTTTAGCTAAATTTACTGTCTATATTTCATTGTGCTGGGTGCAAATCACATGAGTTGAGACGTTTTCTTCAAGAAATTTGCTACATTTCATAATCTGAATTCACTTTTGCGTACCGATAACTATTTCAGGTGTTAGGTAGATGTATTTATGATATTTGAGAAAGATTTTGTCTTGCCAGAATCAACATAGCAGTTTCTACAAGCAAAAACTGCAGCACCATATAATCGCTTCTTGTGTTACTCACATATATGTACATTTCTGGCTGTTCTTTTGTCTCACCCTGTAGAGAAAGCCACTTGCTAATACTAGTTCTGTAAGTTTCCCAACATGTCCTTGTAAAGTCGAGAACGTCTTCACTCTGGACAGATGATAGATGCATATAGCATCGTTTCGTTCCTTTTTGATGCACTTTTGAAGGCTGTTTTCTTTTTTTCCTGTTCTTTTCTTCCTCTTCGCTTGTCTCGCTGGTAGACGCGCTCGTCGCCATGTTTGTGTATTTCTGATACTATGGCAACGAGACTCGGCTCCTATTGGTCCACGTGACAAAAATCGCTTCACCCCTCTGCATATTCGATTGCGCGTGTGCAAGTATCACTGCGCCACAGAAAGGAAATAGTTCAACACCGAAACACTGATTACTAAAAATCGACAGGATGGCATGAGTAGATATTTTTTTTTAGTACTAACTATCAATAGAGCTGTTTTATGAATCACAGTTTATGTTTCCCCACTGAAGTGAAACGAGATTCACTTTCTAGGCACTTTTTCCTCTATCCCAATACAGCCTAATCCTCCTCACACCGGGCGCAGCTCATCAGCGTCATAGCGGCTTCTGCTCGGACTGAGTGGCCCCCCATAGCCAAACGCCCTGAGGCCTCAGCCTCACTATGCCTCATGGTTAATCCGGCTCTGCCTAGGTGTGTGTAATATGTTTACAAAGTGTTTACAGTAAGGAGGCACATCTCTCCCTTAAGTGGTGATCTGATATACACATTGGTTACAATATGATTAACTAAGGATACATTTTAATACATACCAATTCAATTTGATTTGATTTAATGTCTAAAAGAAATGATGAAAGTCATTTTGCACCAATCACTGGCTACACTCACATTTGTTCCCAGGTGCATCTATGATCATCAGTGACTGACAATGGTTTTGGGAGCTTTCTCTTTTTGTGGTTTCTCCACAGTTGCCCACCAAAACATAACAGTTAATGGCGGTGTCCCATTTTTCCACCATGCAGCTGTTCCTGTTTAAAAATTGAATGAACTGACAGCCTCCAAAGATAGGACAAGAGTATAACACTTGTGAGCCGGTTACTTAGAAACTTATTTAGCGAACTAAAGGGACAAAAAATACAATATATATGATTTATGCACATTCTATGCCTCAGAAGGATAAATTACTCCTTGCTTTAATATTTTAAGTACATGCAAGAGAGAGCAAAAGGTGTGACTAGACTATGATGAGCAGATGACCTTAAAGATGTCCGCCCATTTTACCGAGGTGATTTAGTTTTTTTACAGCCCTTTTTAAGTCCGACAACATGCTATTAAAATGAAGATTGTCATTTAGATCAAGCTCCCAGGTCTCAATAGTATACCCTAGCTAGCATATACCCTGTACAATGTGTCATAAAGCGATGGTTAACATCATCCAGTGTCATTAGTTAATGGTCCTTTGATCCAGCCCTTACCTCTATGTGATCACGTAAATCACTGTGTCATTTGCAATCAAGGAGTCAGCATGTCTGGATCAAACACAGCTTGGATCAAAGGCTTGAGACTGAGACGGGATTATTCAGGTGGGAAAGGTGTGACTGAAGAATATGAGGCCTTGAACCCGAGCCAAGGAGTAGGGTTTACTATATAAAACCAGTAGGTATCAGAGGAAGCCGATGCAGTCTTTAGCTCATAGGCAGTATAAAAAATGTGTAACACTTTATAATAACTATACACTATTAAGCATTGGTTAAGCATAATTTAAGCATTAGTTAATCCTTAATTCCTCATGAACTCATTATGAATTCATCATTAGTGATGCATTACAAAGCATTAGCAAATACAGTTATAAATGCTCAACTAATACATTATGAAGCATTAGTTAAACATTAGTGAAGTGCTTAATTCATCGTTAACTCATCATTTGTAAATAATTAGTTATACATTACTAAGCATTAGTAAACGCAGTTATAAACGTTTTAAACTCAAACCCATTTATAATTACTTAAGCAGCAGTTGAACATTAGTTAATGCTTAATCATGAATTCATGATCTGTATAGCACTTAATAAACCCACTTATAAATGTTTTGTTGCTCATTGATAACCTGAGTTGTTAATACTTTATAAAGGGTTAGCAACTGTGTAAGTATATGTTTTACAAACATGTATTCATACTTAATGAATAACTTATTAATGCTTATTAACGCAGTTACTACTCATTAGTTTCCCATTAGTTAAGTATATTCTGTGAGCCCATCTAAAGGGAGAAGTAAATATGCTTTATAAAGCATTTATAAATGACACAGAAGCAAAGATATACAAAGTGTCAGTTTTATTGGTCCCAAACAATACAAGCTCTTTTAGATACACACTTTAAACAAATACAATCTATAAAATTTCAAGTAAACTTGACTTATTTTCTGTCAACTCACAAAGCCTTCACTGTCCTAAACTAATAATTTGATGGGAAGTGGTGGGATCGCTATGGAGAACCAAGGCCCTTGAGTCATCCAGTAAATCATTATACCCGTCTGCCTCTGATAAGCTAATAAAGCGATCAGATTCATGCTCGGATCTTGCTACATGCGTTGTGAGTAAAGTAAACAATGACGGAGGCAGAGCGCAGCTTTAGAGGAGAAACATCCAGCAGTGTGAACAACCTCTTCATATTGAGGTCTTTGGCTCACACTATCGGCGATTTCTGTGAGTGTTGCATGACTTTGGGTGAGCACAGAGATGAACACACTGTCAGCCACGTATTTATTTATTAGTTTTTAGTGCTGTTTTTTGTACTGGCACTATACTTGGGCAGCTGTATTTACTTTCATTACTTTATTTTTTATATTTACGTTTGAATTAGATTGACACTTTTCATGACTGCCACTTGTTTTACAGAAAGCAAATAGTTTGTTATTCTCCTGTGCAGAGTCTTTACTTTTATTTATACAGCCGCTTTATTTCAGTTTGTTTGTTTAAGGTATTCAATAATGTGTCGAAAGTTAAGTCAAATAAAAGATAGTTATCTTGAAAGCCACATCTGTAAGCTTTCAAATATACTTTTTGAATTCTGTTTCTATCTGCTACAGAGGCTGAGATACCATTTTTTTTGTAAACCTCAACACTTAAGAAAACCTCAGGATCTGGGGGCCCTTCTTAAAATGGCCCCCAGGATTTCAGAGGCGCGGCTCAGACAGGGTTCAGGTCTTAATGGGTTAATAGGGGAACAGATTTCTTATGAAGAGATTATTGATGATTTTGCATCAAGGAAGGCAGGAAAGGTCAGGTTTTAGTTTTAGTTTGTGTTTCCTGTCATAGAACAGTCACATTTTCTTTAGTGTGTTTTCAAATTTGTGTGATTTGCTATGTAAGATTATTAGTCTATATTTTATTTTATATTTTATATTCTCTTCTCGTACTGTCTTGTTACATTTTTTGTTAAATATTTGCCACTTTTATGTATATAGTGTATATTTATTATTTAAGCTCTGATAACCTGTTTTGTGCAGAATTGCCCCATTGTCTTTTGCAATGTTGGAGGTGGAGAATATGCACCTTTGAAAAGTGTCTTTGCTAATGTAATAACTGGATTTCCTGGAAGTATTTTGTAAATGCTCTATTGAAGGATTTGTGCAATTGAGAAATCTAAGTTTCTTTTTTATTGTTGTTATGTTGGAGGTGGAGATTATGCACCTTAAAAAGTGTCCTTCCTGTTCTTGCACGAGATAAATAACCAGTGTTTTTTCTTTTGAAAGATTTGTGCAATTGAGAAATATTTTATTTTTGTTGTTTTAATCAAAATAATACTACATAATACAAAACTATCTGTTCAAAATTCTCTCTCTTTGTGTGTGTGTGTGTGTGTGTGTGTGTGTGTGTGTGTGTGTGTGTGTGTGTGTGTGTGTGTGTGTGTGTGTGTGTGTGAGACACTTCTCGCCGGGGGAGTAATTCAGTCTAGAACCGCCACTGCCTTGGAGAGAGATTAGAAAGAGGTTCCATGAATATGACACCAAAAAAAAAAATAAAATAAAAAAAAAATTCCTTTATTAGATCAACTTGATCTTATAAGCCAATATGCATCTGTGTATGATTTTTCCACCTCAGTGAGGGGGATGCTGTCCAGCTCCCTCACAACATAACTCATATACACTACAGGCCAAAAGTTTGGAAGCAAGATCAGATTTGTACAAAAAAAGATCATAGCTTCATATATATACTTTGCAACACAATAAACATGACTATTGTGTAAAGAGTAACTTATCAGAAGACATTTTGACTATAATTATTAGGTATTTGAGTTTTTCTTGCTTAGACTTTGCTTTCTTTAAAGTAACCTCCTCTGGCTTTAACAACAGCTTGGCATATACCAGGCATTCATTCCACAAGTTTTTTTTAAGGTATGCTCCAGGGATTGCGGTACACAGGATACACAGAAGTTCTCCATATCCTCAAATTGTGCTCCCTAGCAGAAAGGCGCACTCAACTATGTCTTGACTTTGCCAGGAAGCTGTTCAAGTCCAACTTCAGAAACTGGCTACCCCCACTCAGGAAAGACATCTCTGGACGACAAACACGGAATGGAGATGACCTGGACACCCCAACATGCCGAACTGAGAGATACAAGAAATCACCAATCCCATATATATGCAGACTATTAAATGAGAATGGTGTTTAGCCTTTTAAGTTTTTAGGTTGTTGCTTCTTAAGCTGCATTTTATATTTGAAGTTTTATTTTTTGTAATCAGCACAATAATTCAGTGTTTTTAATGGCATCTGTCTTTTTAAACATCTGTGATCATGCTGAAAGCTGAATAAACATAAACATAAACATTGCATTTTAAGCTTTCTAAAGTTCATTAAAAAGAGACTGCTGATTTGTGGGACGCATTTTTCTGACCGATAGATCCAATTCATCCTGCACAAGCTCAATTGTATTTTGTATTTGTATTTGTATTTGTTTATTTAGCACAGATTAAAAACAGTGCAAGGAGGGAACAAGGCGATAGGCTTATACAAAGTTCCACTCCTGTCAGGGCAGAGAAAGCAAAAGGTGCAGACAACTAAGTAAAACAGACAGGTCACACATGTACATGTACAATGTACAATGATTACGGAAAGGTCAAACAGATACAAATTGCCATAAATGGAACACAGACAAATCAACAAACAGCGATAAAGACAATAAAGTATTCATAAAAAGGAAAGAAACATGATCATAACAAATAATGATGCATTTAAGACATGATAAGTTGAGTTTTTAATGATATTTTAAAGGAGTTAAAGGATGATATTGATTTTAGAGATGCATCCAGATTATTCCACAGTTTTGGACCTCTAAAAGTGATGCTAGACTGATGACAAGAAGTTTGACATGAAGGTAACTGAAGATGGCCATTTTGTCGTGTTGAGTACGGGTGAAGGTCAGATGAAAAGGTAAAAAAATTTCGGAAAGTTTCAGGAAGGGCTTGTTTGTTATTGATGAATTTAAGGACATACATACAAGAGTGAAAGACATGGGGCTCTATTTTCGTGTACGCCGGGGACGCGGCGGACCCCGCGCAGTTGTATTTTCGTCTGGCGTAGCCCAGCATACAGCCAGTTTGGTATTTTCGTTGACTGAGGTGCACCGAGGCGAACCGAGATCCGCCAAGCTCGGCGTGGTGGTGTGGCAGAGGGAGGTGTCCACAGAATCAGCGAGCGCAGTGACACTTTCGTGCTCGCCACCGGCGTGTAAAGTGCGCTGAAAGCTCGCCAATTCAAACCTGGTCAGCTTTCAGCACAGGCGGAGCGCAGCTGGTCTAGTGGTATTTTGGTAGACCAGCGGCGTCACTGTCACTGATGATTCAAAGGCAGGTTTTCACAGTGTCAGGCACATTTCAGTGCAAAAAATAAACAACTATTAATCTGAGTCAGCACATACATTTAGATCAATATAGATATATTCTGATCTATATCTGATCTGATGAGCGCGTTTGGCACGTGTTTGGACACACAACCTGACCGAATCAACACAGCTGAAACCGCATTAAATTAAATCAAATATCTAGTAAATAAACACACATGATGAAGTTAACAAGATATGTAATTCGTCTCCCTCCTTTTTTTTCTTCCTCTTCCTCTTATTTCTCGCGCAGCTTGACCTGGACATGTCTCCGTGTCCTCTCTCCACCCTGCTGCAGCTGCGGCTGAACAGATGATTTGTTTCAGTGCTCAGATGAGTTATCTACTTTAAGCCGACATACGGATATTATAATATTCAGTTTTGTGAGCCAAATTTATTTTATATGCCAACATCTATGAAAGAAAGAGCCAGGCCACAGAGTGCGATGCGTCATTTACGCACAGATGGTTGCGATTTTAATGACATTTTTGGAGTTTATGTTGTGATCTCTGCGCACAAACCACCTTTGTCACGTGAGGTTTGAATATATGCAACTATATGTGAGTGTCTTTATTTGTGGAAAAGGGTGTTTGTCTTACCAGTGGGTCCAAACTTACACACACCAAATCCATCTGTGCTTATATGAGAGAGTGTGGAGGACGCCCAAGGCACGAAAATAGAGCCCATTGAGTTTGTCAATTGGTAAGATGGAGTATTTAGAAAAGAGAGGAGCAGAAGGTTCGTGTTTGCTGGATCGTGATACCATTCTTAAGAATCTTTTCTGGATTATTAATATTTTTTTTTTTAGGTAAGTTGGATACGTTGCACACCATACAATATTACAATAGGTTATGTATGGACATAGAGAGCTGTAATACAAAGACAAATGAGCAGAGGGATTGATCAGGGGACAGACCCTATTTATTATACCGAGGCTCTTCATTGATCTTTTGCATACTTGGCTGATATGAATGTTCCACTTTAGACCCTCATCAACAACAACACCCAAAAAAGTGGTGTGGGGTACTTGAGAGATTTCAGTTCCATTAATTGATATTTTGGCTTCTTCTTTTGGATAAGATTTTTTTTGTTGCTGAAGATCATGAAGTTACATTTTTTTATATTAAGAGTTAGCTTATTAGTCAGGAACCAGTTAGCAACATAGGACAATTCATCATTCACACGAGCAATGAGAGTCTCAAAGTCAGCATGAACATCTATGAAACAGGTGCCATCAGCAAATAACAAGTGGAGAAGGTTATTACAGTACATAGGCAAGTCATTGATATAAATTAAGAATAACAGAGGACTCAGGATTTATCCCTGAGGGACCCCAAAGAGAATACTGGATTTAGTGGATGAAGCACCATTTAGATGAACAAACTGCTCTCTATTATCTAGATAACTGATCAGCCAGTTGAGGGCAATATTCTGGATTCCATATCTGTTAAGCTTTGAGATGAGGATTTTGTG